TATTATATATTATATATATTATATATATTATATATCAGTGGATTTTGCTGTTAAAGTCATCTCCACTCAATTTCATTTTTAATGTGTTTACATAGTTTTAGTATTAAAATGTTTGTTCCAACATCTGGTGAATTCTTTCTTGCCCCTTTCCCTTTTAACTTAACACTTTGATGTTTGTTTGTTTGTGTACTGGGGATCAAACCCAGGGGCTCTCCACCACCAAGCTACATCCCCACTCCCCACCCTCCTTTTTGAAATGGTCTCATTAAATTGCCTAGGTAGGGTTGAACAATTTTTAGTGGGTTTTTTGTTTTTTTTTTGAAACAGAGTCTCAAATGTACTTTAGGATGGGCTTGAACTTGCAGTGATCTTCCTGCCTCAGCCTCTTGAGTGCTGGGATTATAGGCACGCACCACCACACCCGGCAATTTTGAGTTTTCTAATTAATCTGGTCTAATTACTAAATATTCTTGAGGAAAAACCAGGGAGGTGGTTTTCTTAGCAGTTGTTGTTTCTGTCTAGGGGACTCAGCACCACCTAGGACCTGAGTGAGAACACTCAAGACTTGGAGAGTCACCCAGCTTTCCCTGGCTCCCGTGGAGAAGTCTGGGAAGGCGGGTGACAGTGGACCCAAACAAAGAGGAGATGATGTCCTTTCTCCCCCTGGGCTATGGAGGCTCTGCCATACCTTTGGAGCTAGCAAGTTTCTAGTTTGAGAAGCAGTGCTGTAGCTCAGTCACCGCTATCAAAGAAGGGACTTTGGGTAATATCCAGAGCCACTTCTGTTGTCACAAGGTGTGGAGTCTGGGGTGCTGAAGGCATCTGATGGTGACCAAGAATGCTGCCACACTTCCTGTGTCCATAGTGCGGAGGGTGAGAAGACTTGAGCTAGGGGAGTGGAGGGGGTTTTGTCCGCTTGCTTTCCAGTACTGGAGGTGGAACCAGGGCCGCTAGGCAAGCATTCTTACAGAGGAGCTTCATCCTCACCCCATGGCAGGTAGGGTTAGCTTTGCTTTGACATTGCTTTTTTAAAAACAGTAAAGTTTCAAGCCGGGGATTTAGCTCAGTGGTTCCGCTGCCTGCCTTGCAAGTGCAAGGACCTGAGTTTGATCCCTGGTAACAAAAAAAAACCCAGTAAAGTTTCCTATGTCATTTATGTAGTACTACTTTTATATTTCCGGTCAGCTTATGTCTCCAGCAGTCCACTGAAACTAATCAGTCTTTCTCTAGAAATATTTTCTGTAGTTGGCTTCTGGAGTACTATGCTGTTGGATTTTCTTGTACCTTTTTAAATTTTCTTGTTTTGTTTTAGTTTTTTTGAGACAGTTTTTTTGAGATCTGGCTATGTATTCCAGGCTGGTCCTGAACTCACTTTGTAGCCTAGACTGGCCTCAGACTCACAAGGATCCTCCTGCCTCAGCCTGCCAAGTGCTGGGATTACAGGTGTGCACCACCATGCCTGGCCCCTCGTATGTTTTCATTTCTGGCTCTTCCTCCTCTTCCTGACATGGGAGTATAACCCTAGGGATCAGTTTTCATCTCTCCACAAGAGTTTGGAGTTAATGTACATCTTTGTAGCCAGTTTTATATATATATTGTATATAGAATCTGTTTTGGGTATTTTGTGTTTTGAATGATGATAATGACAGAATTTCTTATTGAGTATAAAAATATCTCAGAAGATTCGCATTTAGTATTTAGTTTGCCGTGCTTAATTTTCAGAGGAAGAACAGAATTTATAAAGTATGTAAGTGTAAATTATAAACATTAGTATTATATAACTAAAGGGATTTATGCTCATTTTAGAGATTGAAAAGGGTGACTTGTAAACCAGACATGGTGACACCTGTAATTCTAGCTACTTGGAAGCCCAAGACAGGAGGATTGCAAGTTTGAGGCCAACCTAGTGAGACCCTGTCTCAGTGTAAGAAAATAACAAGGGGGCTGGGGATTTAGCTCAGTGGTTACACCGCCTGGCTTGAAAGTGCAAGGACCTGAGTTCAATCCCCAGTACCAAAAAAAAAAAAGAAAATGACAAGGGCAGTATGAAGGCTCTGGTTCTGTCCCTGGTACAGTCAGTCAGTCAAACAAACAAGTGATTTGTGGTTTCACAAAAATAGGACACTAGCTACTATTTGAAGTTTTGTGTTTTTCTCCAGGTTTGTCAAGGGCTATTTAATGAATTACTAGAAAATGGAATCTCCGTGTGGCCTGGCTATTTGGAAACTGTACAGTCCTCACTGGAGCAGCTTTATTCAAAGTAAGATGAATTATCTTTCTAGTTATTAAAAATTTATTTTATTCAGTGTTTGATTATATATTTCTTTATGATAACAGAAACATGTCTCATAAATATATATGAAATACAATTAAAATTATTCCCCACTTTCCCTTTTACAGAATGATGTGCCCTTAGTTAATTGTTATAGCACAAAATAATATTCAGCAGATATATACATATGCTATATCCAATTCCAAGATGTAATGTCATGAAGTAGCCTTCAGTTTATTAATTTATCAGGATAAAATCACGTAGATAAGAAGCATTTGTTGAATCAGGGCTGAAGCAACATGATTGGAATGCCTTTTCCTTGCTGGTATTTTGGTTTATTCTGAGACTAAAAGACAATTCTATCTTGGCAGATGGAAAACTAATCTCAGTGACTGGCATCACTGTTTCTCTGATTGCTCTCGATTGAAATTGCCTACTTGTTGATCATCCCTAACCTGAAAGTTTGAAATCCAAAATTTGAAATGCTCTAAAATCTGAAACTTTTTGAACACTAATGTTTTTCAACAAGTGGGAAATTCCACACCTGCCCTCATGTTACGGAGTGTAGTCAAAATACAGGTGCACAAAAAATATTATATAAAATTACCTTCAGGCTGTACATGTATAAGGTGTAGATAAAAGAGCCAAGTGTGGTGCACACACCTGTGTCGCAGCACTTGGGAGGCCGAGGCAGGAGGATTGCTGCAAGTTCAAGGGCAGCCTGGGCTAACCCTAACCCATACAGCTTGAACTTTTTTTATTTTTTGAGACAGATCTCTCTATGAGGTTCAGGCTGGCCTTGAACTCACTATGTAGCCCAGGCTGGCCTTAAACTCACAGTGATCCTCCTGCTTCAGCCTGCTGAATTCTGGGATTACAGGCATGCGCCACCATGCCCAGCCAAACCCGAGCTATTATAGGTCACTAGTATCTCTTGTCTGGATAATTGAAATAATCTATTTGATCTCCCTATCTCTAATCTTGCCTGTGTGCTATCTCATCAATTTTTTTTAGTAAAGTAATTTATCCTTCTTTTGGGTTTATTTTGATTTTTTTAAAGCTTCTTGTGTTGAATACATACATGTCTTCTGTGTAGAGGTCTGAAGCTTTTTATTTTGCTCTTCATTTCTCTAATAACTTGTTAAAAGACACTTTCCAGATGATGTCCACAGAAAAATGGTGTTTATTTTGTTTGGTTTTTTTTAGTGCTGTGGATCAACTCCAGGAGCTGTCTACCACTGAGCTACATCTCCATTCCTTTTATTTTGAGACAGTCTCACTAAGGCGAGACTCGAACTTACAGTCCTCCTGCCTTAGCCTCCTTAAGTGCTAGGATTTCAGGCATGGGCCACCATACTCAGCTAAAAATAGGCCTCTACATATAAAAATTGAGCACATATAAAATGAAGGGGTGGTACTTAAACTTCCTAGTCTTCACAGGTTCTAAATCTTACCCTTTGAATCATATGGACATATTTGTTCTTTTTATGCTTCAGGCTTTGTTGTCCCTAGATATTTTTATCCAAATATTTACTGAGCATCTATTATATCTTATGCACTTGGATATGATAGTGAGTGAGCATAACAGAAAAGCTTATATTTTAGTGGAATAAAAGAGACCAAGAAAACTAAATAGATAGAATAGAACATTTAATGAGGTAATATGACTTGGTAAGCAGGAAGAAAGCCAGTGATTGCTAGACTAGAAATTATAAGCATCCTGAGGAATAAATGATGCGTGAATTTGGTAAAATTTGTTGTATGCCAAATCTTTATTATAATATTGTTATTTAATCTAAAATAATTGTTCTTACACTATAGCCAGGTTCCAAAAGGCTGAGGTTATCATGCGGCTCATATGTAATACCACACTAAGTGATGTGTCGAGGTGACAGAGTCTACTTCTCAGCCTTAATTTCTTTCACGGCTTTTCTACTGCCCACTAAGTTAGAAACTCTCTGGAAATTCTACTTTGAATATGATTCAGAAGCAAAAAATGTTGAGTATTTTTGGTCAGGTTTGAGCCCTCACTCTGAGATTGTGATTGAAGGAGGCGCAGACACTGAAGCAGTGAGAGCGGGGAATGTGGAGACTGACGATGGACATCTGTGCTCATGTGTTTTTGTTAAACGACTTTTTCCTTAGATATGATGAAATGAGTATCCTCTTCACAGTTTTGATGACTGAAACTACTTTGGAGAATGGATTGATACATCTGAGAAATAGAGATACCACAATGAAGGAAATGATGCATATATCAAAATTAAAAGACTTTTTAATCAAGTATATATCATCGGCTAAGAATGTATAAATTTTCATATTTGTATAATAAACATTCTCCTTTGCTAATTTGCCATATGTTAACTTAGGTTTTTTTTTTTTAGCTCTTTTACATTTATGAAGTGGAAATTTTTGGTGCTTTCTTTGATTTATTTTTTAAAATTATATTTTGAAGTATTCTGTTGCATCAAGAATATGTTGAACACAAGAAACAAAAATTCTACTCTACTGGATTAAGCAAATTGGGGTTTCTTTTTCTCGTATAATGTGAAATTCAGGAGAGAGACTGTTCCAAGCAGCACAACTGTTTATTCTCAAATTAGGAACCCAGGCACTTTCTGCCTACTATCTTTCTGTTTTTTGGGGTTTTTTTTGGTACTGGGGATCGAACTCAGGAGCTTGCGCTTTCGAGGCAGGCGCCGGAACCACTGAGCTAAATCCCCGCCCCTACCATCTTTCTGGCCCACCTCATGTTGATGTTATTCTTTTTTTCTTTTTTTTTGATGTTATTCTTTATGTTTATTTCATCATGACCACAGGTAGCTACTACATTTCCAACCTTGTCCACCTAATTAGGAGGAAAGTCAGAGATAAAGGTTCTTCCCACTTTAATCAGGAAAGCTTTCCCTAGACATTCCAATGAGAAATCTTTACAGCTCATTGATCAAAGTAGGTCGCATCATAATTCTTAAACCAATCTCTAATTAGAGTATCCTGATTTAGGTAAAATATAATTTCTCTCTTGGAGATACAGTATTGTCTTTTTCTGGAATGGGTTTTATCAGGACAGAAGAGATCTTTAAGGAATCTGCCATATTTATACTGTAAAATATTTAAAAATTATCCTAAAACTAACGTTAAATATTAGAACAATTATTGAGTTTTTTTTTTTTTTACTGAGGATTGAACTCAGGTCCTTGCGCTTGTGCAGCAGGCAGTGAAACCACTGAGCTAAATCCCCAGTCCTTTTTTAGTTGGTTTTTTTTTTTTTTTTTTTGGTACCGGGGATCGAACTCGGGTCCTTGAGCTTGCAAGGCAGGCAGTGGAACCATTGAGCTAAATCCCCGGCCCACTTTTTTAGTTTTTTGAGACAGGCTCTTGCTGTGTAGTTCAGACTGGCCTTGAACTCGAAGCGATCTTCCTGCCTCATCCTCCAAAGTGCTGGAATTACAGGCATGTGCCAGCACACCTGGCCTCATGTCTGATTCTTATAAATTTGTTATCCTATAGGATCTCTTTCTCTCACTCTCCCTCTCTCTCTCTTTCTCTGTCTCAGCTGGTTATTCATTTGGGGTTGTTCAACTGTCTAGATTTTGTTTATAGCATCTTCATGGTATGGTTTTACCTGTCCCTCTCCACATACTTCCTGTACATTGGTGGTTGAATCCAGAGGCTTGGCTGGCTTTGAGTTCCATTTTTGGAGTGACAGTGTTTCATAGCCAGTTGTATTCTTTATTGGGGGCCTTCATGTTTGGTTGTTTCTTTTTTGAGGTTGCTGGCAACCATCAGTCAATGCCTAAATTGATCATTTTGTTAAATGTTGCAAAATGGTGATGTTCTGCAGCGGTTGTCTTCATTTGTTAGTGACAGGATTTCTACAAAGTAAAACTTCCACCTGCTATGTACTTACCTAGAGGTATGAAAAAGGTGGGGTCAATGCTGGCTCCTTCTTTAAAAGTTAGTATTCCTTCTCATGCCCAGATTATCCCGTCTGTGGTTGATGGGAACCTGTTGGGCTTTGAGTCATTTTGACACACCTTCAGTGGTCTTTGAAAGTATCCTTGCTGATTCATATCTACTATACAGATTGTATTTTTCTGTGTTTCTCCATGGAAACCTGGTTCCTCTTAGTGGAAAAAGTACTTGGAAGCCATATTGCAGATACAGGATGCTCACTGACTGAAGGTGATCTTTGCAGGCCTTTTTAGGGTTCCAAGCTAGCAATATTCATAAGTGTGTGTGTGTGTGTGTGTGTATGTGTGTGTGTTTCCCTCCTAAAAAAATTAATCATAAGTTCACACTAATACTTTCCATTCAAATACAGAACTACCAGGGTTTGGGTTCATATGTGTTTTAATCATATTTGTTTCTGTTTTACAGTCAAACCCAGTGCTTCACACATCCCTAGGCCAGCACTCTACCGCTGAAATTCACCCATAATCAGCTTTATTATAATTTATATGTAATAAATTTGCCTATTTTATTTTTTTTAATTTGCCTATTTTAAATGTACAAATGCATGAGTTTTGACAAGTGCAAAACTATGACCAAAATGACAGCGTAGAAATTTTGCATCACCCCAAGCTGTCCCCTCTTGCCTTTCTAGGAATGCCTCAGTAGTAATCACTATTATATTTACCAGAAAACTGCAAACCTAACTATGTTGTTTTGACAGAACTTCTCTCCAATCTAGCTGCTTGCGTGTATTTATGTATTTTGGGTTTTGTTTTGTTTTTATGGTACCAGCGGTCAAACTCAGGACCTTGCACTTGGGAGGCACGCGCCAGCACCACTGAGCTAAATCCCTGGCTCTATATTTTGGTTTTTGAGACAGAGTCTCGCTATGCAGTTCAGCCTGGCCTTGGACTCTCTACATAGCCCAGGTGCCCCTGAGCTCACAGCAGTCCTCCTGCCCGAGCTTCCCAATTCCTGGGATTATTTAGGTGTGCATCCCAGCTTCCAGCTGCTTTTAGTAATTTGTTATCCTAAATACTTTTTACAAAATAAAATTTTAATTTATTGACAAACTTTGTAAAATTTATTTTATTTCTCTTACTGGTATATTATACTACATAGATATACTTCAGAAGATGTTATTAGAAACCATCCCTGAAACTCAATGTTGACTGAGCTGTAAGAATGTTCTTGAAGACATTTGTTTGCTATTTATAGCATGTCCTCATGTGAGGAAGCATAGAAATTTCTCTCATATTTATCATGGGTTGTTGTATTGCTTCTAATAACTGTTCTGTTAATATATGTATTATAGCCAGCCCTCTATATACACAGGTTGAATCTCATCCATAGGTTGAACGAACCACAAATCGAAAATATTCAGAAAAAAACTTGCATCTGTACTAAACGTACACTTTTTTCTTACTATTTCCTAAATAATGCAACATAACCATTTATATAGCATTTACATTGTATTATAAGTAATATAGAGATGATTTAAGGTATACAGGATGAGCCAGGTATGGTGGCACACACCTGTAATCCCAGTACTCAGGAGGCTGAGACAGGAGGATCACTTTGAATTTGAGGCCAGCCTGGGCTACATAAGGAGTTCAAGGTCCACCTGAACTACAAAGCAAGACTCTGTCTCAAAAAAACTAAAAAAAATATCCACAGGAGGATTGCATCGTTCCTATGTAAATACTATGTTATTTATATAAGCATCTGTGGATTTGGGTGTCTGGGGGAGTTGCAGGAGCCCATCCCCCATGGATACTGAGGGTCAGCTGTATACACGTGTTCACTTACAGGGACTTTGAGCACCTAAGTTTAGGCATCAGGAATATTTCGGTGAACAAAACAAAGTGGTGGTGCCTCTAGTGTTGGTAGGTGTAGTCAGACAATAAGCAGGTAAGGCCACGAACAAGACAGTGCCAGACAACTATAGATCGTGCTGTAAAGGAAATAGAATAGGATGATGTGTTGCATAATGGCTGGGGGAAGGAACTCTACGTAGGCGGTCATGCAAGACCTCTGAGGATGCGACATTGGAGTCACGTGAAGGAGACACTGGTGTGATCCGGGGGAGCACAGTCCAGGGAGAGGGACTGGCATGTGCTAAGCTCCTTCCTTGGGAAAGGATTGGGCTGGTTTAGGAGCAGAAAGGCTGGAGAGGCGTGAGCAAAGCGGAGACAAGTGGGAAATGAGAGAGGTAGCAGGGCATATCCCATAGCATCACTGGGGCCATAGTGAGGGGTCTGGAAGCAGAGAAGGGCTTACTATTCTTTTTAACAGATCCTTACGGAGAAAGAAATGTAGAGGAACAGAAGGGAAGCAGGGAGATCTGCAAAGGGAAACTGACAGTAGCCCGTGTGTCAGCCTTCCCTCACTGTGACAAAATACCTGAGAATCAGCTTAAAGGACAAATGATTTATTTTGGCTTATAGTTTCAAAGGCTTCAGTTCATGGTCAGTTGGCCTCATTGCTTTGGCCTGTGGCAAGGCAGAGTATCATGGTAGGGAGTGTGTGGCAGAGCAGAGCTGCTCACATGTTGGACAGGAGGCAGAGGGAGAGAGGGAAGAAGGGGCCAGGGTCGCATTATACCCTTCAAGGACAGGCCCTGTTTCCTCCAACAAGGCCCCACCCCCTAAAGTTCCTGCCTCCCCATGGCACCATCAGCTGGGAATTAGTTAAGCTATTAGCACAAGGTCTTTCAGGGACATTTAAGACCCCCAAACCATTAACAGCCTAGGTAATACTGGCCAGGACAAAGGAGATAACAATGCCTTTTTCTTTTCTTTTCTTTCTTTTTTTTTGGTACTAGGGATTGAACTCGGGACCTTGCACTTGTGAGGCAGGCGGCGAAACCACTGAGCTAAATCCCCTGCCCTTCATTTTTTTTTTCTTGAGACAGAGTCTCATTAAACTGCCCAGATTAGGCTTGAACTTGCAATCCTCCTGCCTCAGCTTCCCAGAGTTCTGGAATTACATACATGCACCACTACACCTAGCTGTAATGCCCTTCTTGAACCTGGTGAGAGGAATGCCTACACTGGGCCCCGCACTTGACAGGGTCATGCTCTGCCCTTTCCTCAGCTGTGCCTCATGGGATGTCTTTGGGCCCAGGAAAACATGTTCAGAAGTCATGAAACCTTTAGGTATCCAATTCTTCCATAAGTTTATGAGCCTCTGGAGAGCTTAGTGTCTGGTAATGTGTACTGGGAATGGGTCAGCGGTAAGGAACTAGGCCCTTTCCCTCCAAGGCAGTGAGGAGAAAGAAGGCATCACAAACCCGCTGTTGAGCTGTTGATCAGTCCTCTAGTTAGGGCCCCCTTTAAGTCCTTAGGGAGAAGCAGCACAGGGGAGGCTGCAGCCTCCTTAGGTTGTGTTCTCCCAGCCCAGGGCACAGAAGAGGAGGCCTGGTGTGACCCTGTAGGCCCTGCCTTTCCCCCGTGCTTTATTGGATTATTGATCGTTTCCCTAATGATTAGTAAGAGATCATTATGGAACTTTGAACTGTATCTGACACCTGAGTTCAAAATATTTCCCATATTCATTCTTACAGCTTACTCAGTGATTTCCCACATTTATTCTTAAGATTTACTTTGTGGTTTTATATTTTATCTAATCAAATGTCCTTCATCTGGATTGTGAGTCATACCTAGAAAAACCTCTTCACTTCAAATTATTTATTTATCTGTTTGCTTTTTTGAGACAAGGTCTTGCTTTGTAGCGCAGGCTGGCCCTGAACTCAGTATGTAGTCCAGGCTGGCCTCGAACTCTCAGTGATCCTGCCTCTGCCTCCTGAGTGCCGAGATTACAGGCTTGCACCATCGCACCTAGTCAAAAATTATTTTTAGGTCCTCCCCATTTTTTCCAGGACTTCTGTGGCTTCATTTCTAGAGATTTTAATATTTGATCTGTCTGTCTGAATTAATTTTGCTATGAGGAATAATATAGGGGTCCAACTTACTTTTTTCGTAGGGGGGGAGGTACCGGGGATCGAACTTGGGACCTTGTGCCTTTGAGGCAGGCAGTAGAACCACTGAGCTAAATCCCCGGCCCCCCAACTTACTTTTAAAATATGGCTCTCAGAGTTTTGCAATATGTTGAATAATCTATTCCCCGTGGATTTAAAATGCTGTATTTATCCTATGCTAATTTACCATAAGTATTTAGATCTATATCTGGAGTTCAGTCCTGGTCCATTGTTCTACTTGTCCAGTCATACACCAAAGCCACATTTTATAATACTGTTTCAAATTTTATACAACTCATTTGTTTACTAGTATGCATTTTGGATTCTATATACAGTACACCTTGGATTGCAAGTAACTTGTTCTGTGAGTGTCCTGAAAGATGAGCAAACATTTCTAATAAATTTAACTTGATAAACAAGCAATGCCTTGTAACATGAGTAATATTAATGCTGAATGTCACATTATCACAACTGAGCCAATAGTTCTTCTCCCTCTGTCTCTGTCTCTGTCTCTTTCTCTCTTTCTCTCTCTCTCTCCCTCATGTGTGCTACAGGATTGTGGGTGATCATCTCCTAACAGCAAGAGGTTATGGAGGAGATCTCATCTGCAGAGGAAGAGAAGAAAAAGGCAGAGGAAATGCCTCACTTCACATAAGGTTAGGGAGATGTCTTAGTTACTTTTCTCATGGCTGAGACAAAATACCCAACAGTCACGAGTTAAGGGAGGAAAGGTTTATTTAGCTCACAATCTATAGAGGTTTTAGTCCATAGTCAGCTGGCTGTAAGGCGGGGTAGCATGGCAGAGGGGCATGCAGAGGAAAAACTGTCTGTGGCATAGCAGGGCAGACAGAAGGCAGCAAGCTGCAAGCAACAATAGCAGCAGAAGCAGCAAGCAGTGAAATAGTGAAGCACCAGCAGCCTCTCTGTCCCTTATATTCCATCCAGGCTATCTGTCCTTTTGGGTGGTGCCACCCACACCCAAAGTGGTACACCCTTAATCCCAGCATCAGATCCTAGATCCAGCCAGCCCTGAAAAACCCCGCCTATGAGTGCATGAGGCTTGGGGTGTGGGAGGGAGTTTGAGATACAAGCCCTAACAAGAGATATGTAAAATGTAGGAAACAGTGCAAAATTTTGTAGAAAAGCACCGCTGGAATACATCTGTAGCAGTGCAAGCGATGAATCTGTTTAATGACAATGCAATGTCACATTTCCATGAAATCTTCAAAAGGAGGCAAGAGTGAGTATCATTGGATAGGTTCCTTGTTAAAGTTGCAAAAGATTCCATTGAGTCAATAGACAGCAATGATTACATCAGTGGTAATGAAAGTTGTCACACAATGACCCTCCTCTCTCTTGTCTCCCTCACACCAGCCATGAGGGTTTTCAATGGTAAATGCAGGTTAATTTCTTTATTTTGTATTTTCTTTATTATTTTATATTACAGAATTGTAATCATTTATTTAAAGACAGGGTCTTGCCATGTAGTTCAAGCAGGTCTTGAACTATGTAGCCCAGGCTGGCCTTGAGCTTGGTGGTGATCATCCTGCCTCAGCCTCCCAAGTGCTGGGATTACAGGTGTGTGCCACCACACCAGGCTGTAATCCTTTTTTTGTTTGTATAGGGGATCGAACTCAGGCCCTTGCGCTTGTGAGACAGATGTGGCGCCACTGAGCTACATCCTTGGCCCATAAATTCTAGTATCTTTTTTTTGTGTAATCATTTTTATATGAATATTTTTGGGTTGTGGAATGAATCACCTGAGTTTCCATTATGTCTAGTGGGGAGATTCACTTTGTTCTGTTTTGGGAAATTCACTTTGACATACAAATGTTTTGGGTTACTAACATGTTTCCAAAATGAATTATGCTTGCAAACCAAAGTTTTACTGTACTTATTTTTGTATTTGATTTCCTTCTTCATCAAGTATACTGTTTAGTTCTTTCAATGAGAATGTGATTGGAAAATCTTATGTCTTTGTCTCAAATGTTCTGATTTTACTTTCTTTTCCTTGTACTTCTGGGGACTGAATTCAGGAATGCTCTATCACTGAGCTCTACCCCTAGCCCTTCTATTTTATATTTTGAGACAGTCTTGCTAAGTTGTCCAGCTGGACTTGAACTTGTAATGATCCTCCTGTTTCAGCTGATCTCTCATGTGTACACCATTGTGCCCAGCTTGTGCCTCGTTCCTGATTGATATTTTTGCCTATGTGGCAGAGACAGAGTCTTGCTATGTAGCCCAGGCTGGCCTTGAACTCACAGTGACCCTCCTGCCTCAGCCTCCTGAGTGCTGGGGTTTCAGGCATGCACCACCATGCCCAGCCTAATTAGCTCTTTTAAGCCACATTGTAACTCTCCTCTTTATGATGAGGTCAGAAACCTAAGAAATTATAATTCCCTCCTGCCGGGGTTATAGATATGCATACCTCCCACCTAAGGGAAGCTCGGGTGTGGGGTTTGTGGAGGACAAGGGAGGCAGTGGCTGCAGCGCAGAAGGAAGCACCTGGTGTGGCAGACTCTGCTCCGAACTGTCTGGGCTCCAGTTCTGCAGGAAGGCAGCTGTGGCCCGCACATCAACAGTAATAGGAGGAGCGGTAGTTTTCTAGCATCCTGTGTAAGAAAATTTGCAAATAAAGTATTATACTTAAAAAGAAAGTTTAATAAGGATGTTGGATACAAAGCACTGTGCTTCTATGTATCAACAACATGAAATAAAACCTAATTTACTTTAGCATCAAAAGATCAGATGGGCCAGGGATTTAGCTCAGTGGTGCTGCTGCTTGCCTGGAAAGTGCAAGGTCCCAAGTTCAATCCCCGGTACCAAAAAAAAAAAAAAAAAATCAGGTGACTAGTATAGGAAGAAATCTAAAAAAAGATGTACAAGATATTTATGCAGAAAATGGTAAAGCAGTTGAGAGAACTGAAGAACATAAACAAATGGTGAGGTATGCTATATGTGTAGTTTGGAAGGCTTGATACTGTGAAAATGTTAATGATCCTCCAGGTGATCTACAAATTCAATGCAGTATCAAACAAAATTCCTATTATGTTCAGGGATTTTTTCTTTGTTTAAGAAAATGACAGGGTCGGGGATTTAGCTCAGCGGTTCCGCCGCCTGCCTTGCAAGCTCAAGGTCCTGAGTTCAATCCCCAGTACCAAAAAAAACAAAATGACAAGGTGACTGGAAAATGCATATGGCAGCTGGGCATGGTGGCACATGCCTAGAATCCCAGCACTCGGGAGGTTGAGGCAGGAGGATCACCATGAGTTCAAGGCCAGCCTGGGCTACATAGTGAGTTCAAAGCCAGCCTGCAGTGCATAGTGAGACCCTGACTCAAAAACCCCAAAATAAATAAAGTAAATAAAATGTATATGGAATGCAAAGGGTCAAGGAGAGCTGAGTCCTTCCTGACAAGATCTAAGTGGGGAAAATTGCCCTCCCAGGTTCAGAGCTTATTGCAAAGCTGGTACTGACACGGCAGAGATAACAGAATAATGAAACAGAATCTGAAACTCAGAAAGGAGCCCCACGTGTGTGGACATTGGACATGTACAAAGATGACACCTTGGTGTGGTAGGGAAGGACAGTCGTTTCCATAAATAGTGCTGGAGCAGCTGGGGAGTCCCTAGGGTAGGGGGAGGGACTCGCCAACTTCACACCCCACTAGTGAGGCTGAGGCAAGAGGGCTGCTGCAAATTCAAGGTCAACCTGGGCTGCATAGCAAGCAGTCTCAAAAAAAAAAAGGAAAAGGTAAACAAATTAAGTTCTTAAAGCTTCTTTTCATCAAAAGGCATGATTGATTAAGAATATTTTTTAATTTAATTTAATTTTATTTTATTTTTTTGGTACTGGGATCAAACTCAGGTCCTTGCGCTTGTGCAGCAGGCGGCAAAAGCACTGAGCTATATCCCTGGCCCCAGTAATATTTTTTTAGAGCTGGAGATGTAGTTCAGTGGCTCTGCGCCTGCCTGCAAGCACCAGATCCTGAGTTCAATCCCCAGTACTGGGGATTTTTTTTAAAGGGCTGGCAGGGGGCAGGGGGGGATTCAGCTCAGTGGTTCCGCTGCCTGCTTCACAAGCACAAGGATCCGAGTTCGATCCCCGGTACCAAAAAATAAATAAATAAAAGGGGTGGGGATGTAGCTCAATGGTAGAGCACTTGCCTAGACTAGGCAAGGCCATGGGCTCGATCCGCAGCACCAGAGGTAAAAAAAAGAAAAATCCATATGACCTATAAATATACATCAGAAAGCTGCAAATTAAAATTACAAGGCAATGCTGTGCAAGTGCAAGGACCCGAGTTCGATCCCCAGTACCCCCCCCCAAAAAATTACAAGGCACCACCACTATATAAGGGTCATGATTTAACATAACTGCCAGTGTCAGTGTTGGTGAAGCTGTGTGTGTGTTGGGGGGGTTTACACTGTTTGTGGGTATGTAAAGGTGATAGAGCCGCTATGGAGAACAATGTGGCCTTGTCTGCTTGGATTAGAGATTCACACATCTAGGAGCCAGCCACTCTATTCCTATGTACACGTAACAGAACTACTTGCACATAGGCACAAAGAGAAGCGTTCTTAACATAAGAATGTTCATAGCAGCATTATTTGTAACAGCCCCACATTGATAATGTCCTTAAATGTCTGTCAGCTGTAGGGTAGATGAAGTGTAGCATGCTCTAACAATGAAATCCTGCAGTATTTAGCAATGAAAAGACATTCATTGTAGCTACATGCAGCATCATGGATAACACACAAACATAATCTTGATCGAACGAAGAATAAATGCTATGTGGTTCCATTTGTAGTAAATTCAGAGCTGGGCATGGTGGTGCACCCTTGTACTTCTAGCTGCTCAGGAAGCTAAGGTGGGAGAATCCCTTGAGCCCAGAAGTTCAAGACCAGGCTGGGCAACATTGCATAGATTCTATCTCAAAAAACTAAATTCCAAAATGGGCAGAAGTCAAGATAGAGTTTAGAAATGCATATTTAGGTGGCTGAACTATAAAGAAAAGCAAAGAAGCAATTTCCATGTTTGAGGAGTTGTGCTGGGGAGACCAGGCTGCGGTCGTGAAGATCACAGAAGACGTGGACTCCCTGGTGTCCGCTTCATCTAATTTGTTAATCTGTACACAAAGTGCATTTTATGCATTTCTGCATTTAGATAATGCACTGTATTGCAGAACAAAAAAAGAATGTGTGCATTTGAAAAAGAACCAAAGTGAAGCTTCCAGATATGAAAAAATGAGACTTCTGGAGTGAAAAGCTCAGTTTATCCTCTTCGTCTTCCTTTTCCTTTCTCTGCTGTCCGTGGCTAATACAGTCCAGAGGCCATGGCCTGGGGGCAGGGAGAAAGTGGAGTGGAACGATAGTAACTGGGAGCCGGGTGCCCTTCTAGGTAAGGAGGAGACCATGAGGGGCTTGGTGGCCCCCAACAGTTGTCTGCGTGGTAAGAGCCAGTCTGGCCGTGGTGCTGGAGTCCACCAGTGTGCAGGAGGGGCAGGTATGGAGCCCAGTGGGGCACAAAGGGCGTAGTCATGGAGCAGCGGCCAGGAGGGCTGTGCAGCTAAAGGGGTGTTGACAGCAGCCCTGAGTGGGTGTCGGGTTCTTTGGGTTGTATATGTGGATATCAGCTTCTAAGTGGATCGAGAGGT